ACATGTCCTTCGCATAGAGTTGATCAGGCTGCTGATTGTGGCCTGTGGAATGTTGTCCCACTCCTCTTCAATGGCTGTGCGAAGTTGCTGTATATTGGTTGGAACTGGAACACGCTGTCGTACACATCAATCCAGAGAATCTCAAATGTGCTTAGTGGGTGACATGTCTGAGTATGCAGGCCATGGGAGAACTAGGACATTTTCAGCATCCATTGTGTACAGATCCTTGCGAAAAGAGGTGATGGCGGCGGATGAATGGCACGACAATGGGCCTCAGGATCTCGTCACGGTATCTCTGTGCATTCAAATTGCCACCGGTAAAATGCAATTGTTTTCGTTGTCCGTAGCTTTGCCTGCCCATACCATAACCCCACTGCCACCATGGGGCACTCCGATCACTATGTTGACATCAGCAAACAGCTCGCCTACACGATGCCATCTGCCCGGTACAGTTGAAACCGGGATTCATCCGTGAAAAGCACACTTTTCCACCGTGCCAGTGGCCATCGAAGTCGGTTATGACGCCGAACTGCAGTCAGGTCAAGACCCTGGTGAGGACGATGAGTACACAGATGAGCTTCCCTGAGGCAGTTTCTGACAGTTGTGCAAACCCACAGTTTCATCAGCTCATGGTAGTGAAATGAACATTCAATTCTCTGGCAATAGCTCTGGTGGACATTCCAGCAGTCAGCATGCCAATTGCATGCTCCCTCAAAACTTGAGACATCTGAGGAGTATTTCTGTCTTTAATAATGCCCTTTTGTGTGGGAAAACTAATTCTGATTGGCTGGGCCTGGCTCCCCAGTGTGATGCAAAACACAGCATAATATGATTCAAAATGCATCATACAGGGATGATTTCTGTATTTTGAATGTTACATATCTAAATAATTGCTGCTTCTTCATCGGAGGTAAACGCAAACCTTGTTTTCTTCATTCCCTACAACTCTAGGGGAACACCAGGGGAAAGCTAGTAAGTTTTACTTGCCAGAAGTTAAGCATGCTAGCCAACGTTAGCCAGGACGCTTTTTAGCATAAGCTAGGCTAGCTAGCCTCTTTGACATCAGCAAGGTCCGTTTAGAATAACCAAGCGAGTTAACACTACGTATTCTAAACAAAAGAGCTACCCCAGCAACTTCACCGTAGGGAGGCAGGAATAGCTAGTAAGAGCTAGCTCGCCTCTGCAAGTTAGCCAACCTGGCTAGCATGCTATGCAGCGCTCGTTTAGCTAGCCCGGTCTCAAAAGTCCACATAGGACCAGATCGCTTCATCAACAAGTCTGGGAAGAGGCAAGCGTAAATTGTTCCTGTTCATACCGAGATGAAAGAATGAATCCGAGCCTCACGCTTATCACCTGTGGAAGGTGGGGCTTCCAGCGAGACGCCGATTTCATTGGCCTTGTCAGGCGTGATTGTACAGTGAGGGAAAAAGGTATTTGATCCCCTGCTGATTTTGTACGTCTGCACACTGACAAAAGAAATGATCAGTCTATAATTTTAATGGTAGGTTTATTTGAACAGTGAGAGACAGAATAACAACAAAAAAATCCAGAAAAACGCATGTCAAAAATGTTATAAATTGATTTGCATTTTAAATGAGAGAAATAAGTATTTGACCCCCTCTCAATCAGAAAGATTTCTGGCTCGCAGGTGTCTTTTATACAGGTAACGAGCTGAGATTAGGAGCACACTCCTATCAATCAAGCAATCAATCAATCAGATTCCAAACTCTCCACCATGGCCAAGACTCAAAACTGGGCGAACATTTTGTGGTCAGATGAGACCAAAATGGAGCTCTTTGACATCAACTCAACTTGCCGTGTTTGGGGGAGGAGGAATGCTGCCTATGACCCCAAGAACACAATCCCCACCGTCAAATATGGAGGTGGAAATATTATGCTTTGGGGGTGTTTTTCTGCTAAGGAGACAGGACAACTTCACTGCATCAAAGGGACGATGGACGGGGCCATGTACCGTCAAATCTTGGGTGAGAACCTCCTTCCCTCAGCCAGGGCATTGAAAATGGGACGTGGATGGGTATTCCAGCATGACAATGACCCAAAACACACAGCCAAGGCAACAAAGGAGTGGCTCAAGAAGAAGCACATTAAGGTCCTGGAGTGGCCTAGCCAGTCTCCAGACCTTAATCCCATAGAAAATCTGTGGAGGGAGCTGAAGGTTCGAGTTGCCAAACGTCAGCCTCGAAACCTTAATGACTTGGAGAAGATCTGCAAAGAGGAGTGGGACAAAATCCCTCCTGAGATGTGTGCAAACCTGGTGGCCAACTACAAGAAACGTCTGACCTCTGTGATTGCCAACAAGGGTTTTGCCACCAAGTACTAAGTCATATTTTGCAGAGGGGTCAAATACTTATTTCCCTCATTAAAAAGCAAATGAATTTATAACATTGTTGACATGCGTTTTTCTGGATTTTTTTGTTGTTATTCTGTCTCTCACTGTTCAAATAAACCTACCATTAAAATTATAGACTGATCATTTCTTTGTCAGTGGGCAAACGTACAAAATCAGCAGGGGATCAAATACTATTTTCCCTCACTGTAGATCCTTCAACTGAAGTTGTGAGAATACGACACAACAACCCCCCCCCCCCCCCAATCAGCCACCCTAAAATTATTAAAGAGCAGAGTGATTTATGAATAGCGTATAATCCATAATATGAGAGGAACCAGCCTGCAGCATCCTTGGAGGTTGGAACAAAACTGAGACTCGTATTCACAACCCAGTAACACTATCAAATCTAAGTCTCACACACACACATGGGTTAACCTCTTGCCCAACCTTACAGGGTGAGTATGGCAACAGTGTTTCTGAAACTGAGCCGTGGTGTCGGCTCCTTGACATGGGCTTCACAGCTGGCTGCTTGTGTGAGGTGAGAGAGAGGGAACCCTCAGTGTGCTGTGTCCTGTCTGTGACACCACAGTGTGACAGTGTGACTCAGTCAGGGGAGGGGAGTGGGGCCATCCCATCACAAGCCAGCTGAGTGGCCCACAGTCCTCACAGCATCACACATACACAGGACCTAGGGCAGTGCTGGGAGCAGCTAGTCGAGATCACAGAGGGCTGGGGAGGGACTCCCGACCTGCCTGCTGCCAACTACACACATCTAGTGGGCAAGTCCTGGAGAGCTTGCCTAGCTGGCCTGGCACTACTGCCCAACCATAGCCTTCATCATGAGCCCAGTGACAGCTGACAGAGACCAGAGAAGAATATACTATATATGGACTCGTCAACTCACACCAGTGTTTATGTGCACTCCAATCCCAATTCTATCTTAATCATAATATCACAGTCATATTTTAATTGTGTGTGTGTTTACATATTGTTTTCAAATGAGAAATTGGCCATGGAGCTGAGCGTTGGGTGAGTTCTATTTCTGTCATGTATATCAAACACATCCTTCTTACACATCCTCCTGAATCAACACCCTTCCACTTTATAGCCTGCCTGCAGCTGACAGTTTCCTGATCCAGTTGGAGTCCTTCCAGACCAACCCTGAGTGCCAGGCTAATTAACATCACATTTCAATTGGAGCCATGTTGCTCTCAACCTGATGCTTTGAACGTTTCCATGTTAGTCATATAGACCAACCAAAAGCTCTGTGGACTAACTAATTACAGATGATGAACAAGGTCTAGGCTTAGCCCAACCACCTTCTTTTCACTTGTCGACACTATATACACATTCCACTGGGCACACACTGGTTGAATCAACGTTGTTTCAATAAATGTACGTTGAACCAACGTGGAAAAGACGATGAATTGACGTCTGCCCAGTGGGATGAACAACTTAATTCCCAGTACAACCAATTTCACAAGGTTGTTTGACAGCCATCTGAAGCAAAATTAACTTGTTTCTGTTTGTCTTAAAAAGCTTCCCTTGCAGACTAAACACACACACAACAACACACAGCCAGAGGAGAGCACAGTGGAGACAGGCAGTGCACATTAATTAGGCTGCCCTGTTCCCACAACGCTTCTTTCCTCTTCTCAACACTTCAGCTCTCAAGTGTACTGGCTAATAATTTCCCAGCCTTAAGCTGATCTCACACTGCCAATATCTCCCTCACTGCGGGTGCATTTTACTTTTGCCAAGCTTGTTTTAGTGGCTTAGAAGAACACAAACCAAAATGTGCATATATTGATGGAGGCAAAAAGTAAACACATTAATGGGCTTCCAAACAATTAGGCTGATTTGGAAAAGGTCTGTTCTGTAGTTTACTCAGTTAAAAATAGTACATGAAAGTGAATGGCTGACAAGGATACTTGTGTTCCCAGAGGAGAACATCATCCTCAAATAATGTATTCATCGAGAGAAGAAAGCAAGCAGAAAATCTGAACAAAATAAAATAAAATAAAACAAGCACTAAAAGCCACTCAGACAGGAAGACACAACACACAATCCCCACCAATTAGGAGTGTCTATTGATTATGAGTGTCTATTGATTGTCAGAACAAACCTCTGAGGAATATCAAGGCAGGTCTGTACAACAAGGATCTTAAACCTCCTAATGTTAGTCCCTGGGTAAAGAGTTGACCAGATGATGTAGAGGAAATGCAATGCCTTCACAGACAATCCCTAAAACAAAAAGGATGATAAACTCCCTCTGCTGGTCAAACTATAAACACAGCAACCCGCTATAATTCCATTCAGTAACATCCAAGGGGCAGTTTGCAAATAACATCCCTTGCTACATAAACTTTTCTAGGATAAATATTAAATCCCAGTAAGAAAATCCCCACTGTACTCACCGTTAGTCTATATTATTATATTTTGACTTTCCCTCAGGGTCAGTTTACCTCCCAAGTTTTGGAGTAAATCAAGTTATGTGCATAATTCATGTGATATTGAAGTTGTACAGTACAGTAGGTCTGAAGAGAAAAACGTTTTGTTTTCATCTCTTTGAATTCTAAATTATGTAAATAATGCTGACAGCAGATGAGGTTTCAGTCACAATAATTTTTTCAAGTCTGCCTCATGGTGTCTACTCACCAAAAGTGACAGAGGCCTCGCGGTGGTAGTATCCATCTGGGGTCTTTTTCTTCAACATTGAGCAGAGGTCCAGTCTGAACACCCTCTCGTCTCCAAAGTGGTTTCGAACGTAGTCAGAGTACAGCTCCGGGTCCAGCTTCTTTAAACCCTGGGAGACAACACAGACAGACATGGGGACGTGCACAATGTCACGTCTGACCAGACATGGATGTTCCTGAACACACCCATCCACCCTAACCCCACACAGTAACACCCCTCCCCCACACCAGAGGAACACAGTACTCTCTAGGCTGCCTGTTGTCTGGTGGGAACGATAACCCCAGCAGGAAATGTGTCGTCCACCGCCAACAAACAGATCAAGCAGGGGGCTCCTATCTTCCCCTGCAACCCTCCAGGTCAAATCCTCCTCATCCCTCCTCCCCCTTACCAGACCAGACCACTGTACATCTACTAATATCTACTGCCACCACCATCATTCACTCAGCCAGGACAGTAAACATGTCACACAGAGTGGACTGCTGCTACAAACACACTCCCTCCGAGTGAACATCATTGTTCACAATTTGATCAAAAGGGCCTTCTTCCTTCCACGGGAAAGAGACGTAGACTAAAGACAGTTTCAAAGCATTGCCTTGTCATGTATTATTATAGGGTAGAACAGTTTATACACTCCACAACTAGTGATTTTCATTCCCAAGTCACTGAATGATCATGCACAGACTTATTTCTTGATAATCTACACATTATTATAATCAATGACATTATCATAAGGACTTTGGTCTTGCTTCGTAGACTGTAGAAATCCATTAACATTCATTTAAATCGATGTGAGTAAATCAAGATGTCTCGACTATAAATTGATATCACTTGGCTTTGAATGACTCAGCCTTAATATTCTCTGAACCACTAACATCATTTTACCTACACAACCAAATAAGGTATCCCTCAAAGGCAGAGAAGGTTGCCAGTCTGAAGGGACAGTGAAGCTACGCTAGACCTCCACACAGCTGTGTTCTTCTCTCCATACATGCCATTCCAGCAGGAGTGATGAGGCTCACCTGACTGTGTAGCTTAGGAGCTTTGGACAGCTTCATGAAGGTAAGGTGGGGCTTGAAGGCTTTGCTGTTGCCAGATGAGAGGCCTTTCTCCTCAAACATTTTCCTCACAAGCCCTGGAGAAAATGACCAGAGACAGAGAGAGGGTGATGGGAAAAACAACAGCAGATCTATTTGTAGTGCAGGACCAAGAGGGAGCGAGCAACTTCAGCACAGGATGGTGTAAGACAAGGAGATAATCAAAAGGAGGAGAGGGCAGGGGGTATAAGAATGGGCAGTACAGGACAGCAGCTGATAACCTGTTAGTGTCTCTATTTAGGGAAGCTTTCTCCATCTAAAAAGCACAGCTTCATTGAAAACAACTTGTAATATCTAAAAAGTACAAAATAATACCAAGATATCAGATTTTGATAAAGCGAGAAAAAAGCAACATATTAAAGATGCACTATAACGCAGAAATCCATTTCCTGGTTGCTAAAATTCGACTAGTTTGTCTAATTTCAGTTTATGTGACAAAAGAAGCAAGTAGAGTGTAGAGAATCATTATACCATCTAAACCGCTGTGAAAAATATTTTCCATAACCACAAATATTGTATTTTCAGCTGTTTGAAGCTGGTGTACAAAACCTTAAGTAAAAGACGATACATAGAAGCATAGAAATAGTGCACATAGAACACATCTACCGCTTCTTAGAGACTTGCTTTCAATGAGAATAACAGATCTATAAAAACACATTTCTATGTGAATTTGATCAGATTGCCCAAAAAGTTACATATTCTCCGGTCCAGTTCTAAATTTGTTTAGGACCTATTTAACCGGTCGAGAGTTTTTTGTCACTCTTGGTGAACATAACTCAGAGAAAATACATATCACATGTGGAGTTCCACAAGGTTCGATTTTGTGCCCGGTACTGTTCAGTTTATATATGTTCCCCCTTGGCAGCGTTATCAGAAAGCACAGCATTGATTTTAGCTCCACGGATAAAATATTACACTGTATTAGTGATTTACCGTGCATTCGGAATGTATTCAGACCCCTTTTTCCACATTTTGTTACGTTACAGCCTTATTCTAAAATGGATTAAATTGATTTTTCCCCTCATCAATCTACACACAATACCACATAATGACAAAGCAAAAATAGGTTTGTTGAAATGTTTAAAAACTGAAATATCACATTTACATAAGTATTCAGACCCTTTACTCAGTACTTTGTTGAAGCACCTTTGGCAGCGATTACAGCCACAAGTCTTCTTGGGTAAGACGCTACAAGCTTACCACACCTGTATTTGGGGAGTTTCTCCCATTCTTCTCTGCAGATCCTCTCAAGCTCTGTCAGGTTGGATGGGGAGCGTTGCTGCACAGCTATTTTCAGGTCTCTCCAGAGATGTTCGATCGGGTTCAAGTTCGGACTCTGGATGGGCCACTCAAGGACATTGAGACTTTTCCCGAAGCCACTCCTGCGTTGTCTTGGCTGTGTGCTTAGGGTTATTGTTCTGTTGGAAGGTGAACCTTCGCCCCAGTCTTAGGTCCTGAGCGCTCTGGAGCAAGTTTTCATCAAGGATCTTCTGTACTTTGCGCCGTTCATCTTTCCCTTGATCCTGACTAGTCTCCCAGTCCCTGCTGCTGAAAAACATCCCCACAGCATGATGCCGCCACCATCGGGATGGTGCCAGGTTTCCTCCAGACGTGACGCTTGGCATTCAGGCCAAAGAGTTCAATCTAGGTTTCATCAGACAAGATAATCTTGTTTCTCATGGTCTGAGAGTCTTTAGGTGCCTTTTGGCAAACTCCAAGCGGCCTGTCATGTGCATTTTATTGAGGAGTTGCTTCCGTCTGGCCATTCTACCATAAAGGCCTGATTGGTGGAGTGCTGCAGAGATGGTTGTCCTTCTGGAAGGTTCTCCCATCTCCACAGATGAACTCTAGAGCTCTGTCAGAGTGACCATCGGGCTCTTGGTCACCTCCCTGACCAAGGCCCTTCTCCCCCGATTGCTCAGTTTGGCCGGGTGGCCAGCTCTAGGAAGAGTCTTGGTTGTTCCAAACTTCTTCCATTTAAGAATGATGGAGGCCACTGTGTTCTTGGGGACCTTCAATGCTGCAGAAATGTTTTGGTATCCTTCCCCAGATCTGTGCCTCAACACAATCCTGTCTCGGAGCTCTACGGACAATTATTTTGACCTCATGGCTTGGTTTTTGCTCTGACATGCACTGTCAACTGTGGGACCTTATATAGACAGGTGTGTGCCTTTCCAAATCATGTCCAATCAATTGAATGTACCACAGGTGAACTCCAATCAAGTTGTAGAAACATCAAGGATGATTAATGGAAACAGGATGCACCGGAGATCAATTTCGATTGTCATTGCAAATGGTCTGAATACTTTTGTAAATAAGGAATCTCTGTTTTTTATTTTTAATAAATATGAAAACATTTCTAAAAACCTGTTTTTACTTTGTCATTATGGGGTATTTTGTGTAGATTGCTGAGTTTTGTATAATTTTTTATCCATTTTAGAATAAGGCTGTAACGAAAACAAAATGTGGAAAAAGTCAAGGGGTCTGAATACTTTCCGAAGGCACTGTAAATACTTGGATGGCTCAAATTCCTCCAGCTAAATCAAGACAAGACCGAGGTACTTACTGTTGGAGCCAAAGCACAGAGAGAGAATATGGCCGCACATTTTAATTCACAGGCAATAAAGATAAAACACTAGGTAAAAAACCTAGGTGTTATTTTAGATTCTGAACTAAATTCCAAATCACACATTAGGAATGTGACCAAAATAACTTATTACTAACGCCGTTTCTCTCTCAGGCTGATACAGAGAGACTCATCCATGCTTTTATTACAAGCAGGCTTGACTATTGTAATGCTCTCCTGTCTGGTCTACCCAAGAAAGCCATTGGTCAACTGCAAAACATACAGAATGCTGCAGCACGGCTATTGACCAGACAGAGAGCACACATTACACTGGTTTTAAGTTCTCTGTACTGGCTGCTTGTGAGTTTTAGAATTAATTTTAAGATTCTTCTATTGGTTTTTAAATCAATCCACGATTGTGCACCGTAACATGTGTCAGACATGCTTTTAAAGTTAAGTTATCTACCCAGTAGGTCTCTCAGGTCCTCTGGCATTGTCCTTTTAACTATCCCAAAGCCTCGGACCAAGAGGCATAGAGATGCAGCCTTCAGTAATTATGCCCGCATTCTCTGGAATAGCCTGCCAGGGAACCTGAGAGGGGCTGAAACCGTGGACATATTTAAAAAAGAGATCTTAAAAACACACCTTTTTTGCTTTGCTTTTCCATAGGGTGCTTTTTAGTCGTTCAGTTTTTATTGTTATCCTTTAGTTTATCCTCGTATGTTTGATGTGTAGTAAATATTTCAGTTTTTTTCCTGTGAAGCACATTACGTTGCTTTCCATGTCTGAAATGTGCTGAATAAATAAAGATTGATTTGATTTTGATATTGCAGCTTTAAATATTATTTTATGAATATAGTACTGACCCTTGGAAATACTCATACATAACAGCTTTATCCTAAATTGGCAGCCCAGCTCACATCCATATACGATTAACATACAGCTAGAAAGGCACAGTGAGAGACGTCAAAGATTCCGCACACAGGGGAGAAAAGCAGGGGGAGGAGGATGGGAAGAGGGAGAGTAAGGAGAGGGGGGTTGGGTGGGGGAGCAGTAGCCGACTAGCAGTAGCACCCACCTGCGATCTGGTCCAGTGTGGCGAGGTGCTCTCCCTGGGCCAGCGCTACAAACGCCACCTCGTTCCTGAAGTGTCCGATGCCGTGGAAGGGCAGGATGAGCTCCCGCCCCCGCAGCAGGTCCTGCAGCGCTGCCTTCATCTGGGCCACTGCACACACCGCCCTGCAGTCAGCACAGCACAGCACTGATCCTCTCCATCTCTCTCTCTACATCCTCCCTTCATCCTCTTCTCACCACCATGGTCACACACTGGCCATTCAGCTAATACATAATTTACCCCTGCAGGATTTAGTGATGCAAATATAAATTTCCTGGGATGTCTACACAGTCAGATATGTAGCCATGTGTTAATCATAGGGAGATACAGTACTAGGCCTATATATTCAGTGGCTATGGAGGTTCAAAAAAGTGGAAGTGGCTGCCTACATTGTGTTTTACTGTATGTTTTCAGAAAATAACACACTGCACTGAATATTTTCACCTATGGACAAATGATATTTTAATCAATATTATCTCTACAAATGTGTAGGATATAGAAACAGACAGAATACAGCTTCTGCTATCTATAAACAGGGGGTGGCTGTCTGATTGAAATAGATGAGATCAGCTGCAGACACTCACAAGTTGACTTCCTCTTGACTGGCCAAGTGGGTCACCAGCAGCGTGATGTGGAGACTGCCCACAGGCACCAGAGCCCTTGTGAGTCTGGAGTCCCTCTGCATCACCAGGGCCTGCACTGCCCCCACACCTTCACTGATCTGCTCAAATAGAGCATGCCATTCACTCTCTGGCCATTCAGTTCCAACAGTTGCCTTGTGATCACATTTAAAGTCAAACCTGCAGTAATGTATTCTAAATATCAGTGCGTTCATATGGAGAAACTTTTTGGAGAAATACCCCCAAATAAAAGAGGATAAGATTGACTTTTCAACCAAAAAAAATCACACAATTGTACCTTGTGATTTGTGATGGGTATTGAAACAAAGTAGTTTGGGCGTTGTGTTGTCTTCTTTTTCTTTTTCTCTGTATCCTCCTCACTTTCTACCCGACCACTCTCACCTCTCTTTCGCTTCTTCTTCAAATTGGTCTCTGGCTTGGTGACTAGGGGAAATGTAGCACAATGATATTAGTGTTGTACAAGAGACAAACGTGTGATTCTGTTCTTCTGTAGTTGGATTTGACTGCCCTCCTGTAAAAACCAACCACCAGTCAAGTCAACAATGCATTATTCATCGCCACTAGGCAGCTGGAGGAAATTTGAATTCAAGGGCAGCTGCGGTACAAGGAAGGTCCTTGCATCAATTGGCAACTAATACAGATAACCAGTCATTATAGACTTACAGAGTTGGTGCCACTAGTGACATTTCTGCTCTCCTACTCGACCGGAGTTCAAATGGAAAGATACCATCAACTGGTCACACTATGCAGGGCTCTACATTGCGATCATTTCACTCGCATATGCGCCTAAATATTTTACTGGATTTTTAATTTAGGAGCACCAGTGAGCCTATAAAAATGAAGGATTCTAGCTTTAATATATTGAATATTTTAATTGTGCTCCTAAATTTCTGTGTGTGCACCTACATTTTTCAACTTAGGCACACAGGTGGTCCTTGTAAAAAAAGGTCAGCGTAGAGCCCTGCCATGGGAACTACTGAACTAATCCTCTCTATGAAGGTATGTTACAACTATGTTATATTAGTCTGGAGATGTTGATTTAAGTTAGCCTAGATTTAAATGCATAAATAATATGGCATAAACTGTTTACTTACAGCCAAGGTCCTTCCATATTGCTGTACTTGCGAATGGAAATTCTGACAGAAGATTGTCAGAGCATTCTGATGACTTGGACTTCTGTTTCCTTCCATGTGGCTTTTTGGGTCTCTTCTTGATCCTCTTCACTATTTCATTTTCTGAGGAACATGGGGGAGATGATGACAGCATGTGAATGGCTAAGATAGATCCTCCAAATATCTCAGACATAATTTCCAACAAAAGCGCTCAAAGACTCTGGATACTGGGTGAATGTAATGAATGTTTGAAGCTAGTGAACACAAGCTATCCCTAAAAACTAGTTGAGCAACAGCAAAAACTGCTCATAGTCAAATTTATGGTCTGACTGAATGGATTATGTGTGTGACTCACAGGAGGCTGCTGAGGGGAGAACGGCTCGTAATAATGTCCGGAACGGAGCATATGGAATGGCATCTAACACCTGGAAACCATGTGTTTGATGTATTTGATACCATTCCACTGATCCCGCTCCAGTCATTAACACGAGCTCGTACTCCCCAATTAAGGTGCCACCAACCTCCTGTGGTGTGACTCCACCCCATCCACTGTTCTGCTTTGACAACAACAAGCATGCAAACAGTATGCTAGGCCAGACATCTTGTGATGCAGTGTGAGAGTGATGATACTGGAACTTCTGATATTAAGCCATGACACTGGCCACCACCAAGACAGTACATAACAATATAATGTACTTGGATGAAAAAAAGGGGGGCTCTATCTGTTTGTGCAGCATGTCATCCAATAAATGACTGTGGGATGCACTTTCCCTTTGATGTTACAGTGAGAAGAGTATGTTCTCACAATTCTCTAATAATAGTTTTCTATTTCAAATCAAATCAAATGTTATTTGTCACATGCGCCGAATACAACAGGTGTAGACCTTACCGTGAAATACTTACTTACAAGCCCTTAACCAACAATGCAGTTTTAAGAAAATAGAGTTAAGAAAATATTTACTAAATAAACTAAAGTAAAAAAAATTAAACAAGTAACACAATAAAATAACAATAATGAGGCTATATACAGGGGGTACCGGTACCGAGTCAATGTGCAGGGGTACAGGTTAGTCGAGGTAATTTGTACATATAGGTAGGGGTAAAGTGACTATGCATAGATAATAAACAGCGAGTAGCTGGTGAAGTTAAGTCTTTAAATTTTCCATTGAGGTTGGACTACTTAAAATGTCACTAGTCTCAAAGCCACAAGAGGGTAGAACACATTTCAAACATTACTTGTTAGGGGAAGGTAGTTGCAGAAACAATGGAATGGTTTAGTCGACTTCCTCAATCGTTGTTCCAGATGACAATGTGTAAGACATAGATGCTGTTTTACACAGGGTCAATGAAAATCTGTAACCCCACCCCACCCTCAAACTTTGGAATCAAAGACGCCAGGTTCCACTCATTCAGCGTATTTCAGTGATGATAATAGATTTATATTTCTTACCAGGGGCGATGAGTTCGTTCACATTGCAATGCAAGTGACTCTCCTCAGCAGCAACTATAGCAGTCGATGGATCATGTGCAGGTGACAGCAAGAGGTCGTTGTCAAGTTCCATGCTGCTCGTCTCGAGCTCGACAGCATAATCAGTCCCAGTGACCGGCTGCACTCCAAATAAGTTTACCTGACCTTGAGGTAATACAGAAAAGTTTAAACTGTTTTGATTAGCTTCCTTTGTCAAATTCAGCGTGGGGACTTCGTGCAGTTTGCACATTGTTGTTGTTCTCTGACTGTAAGCATTATTTGAAGCAGGCAAATCCCTCTAAATGAATTTAAGAAGTGAAGTCTGAGCATGACAACCTAAACGAGACTAACCAGCTAACGTTAGCTAGTTACATAGCATTTGGAGTAAGGACAGGTTACTCACGTGTGACCTGGACATGGGATTCAGTCTTTTAGTACTCGCTAGCTAGCTACCTTTAGCTAGCTAGCTCCTGCCGCCTGTTGGAATAAGTATAATTCAAGTTAGCTAGTGACGTCGCTAGCACACAGAAAGGCTAGCTGGCTTTGTAGAGAAGAAAAATAAATGTCCATTTATTTTCCGCATAAAGTGAAATGGTGGTTTTTGCCGCAAACCTGCAAAATGTTTGCTTACTCCTAGCTAGCAAGCGAATATGGCTCACTACACATGTAAACACAGGACTACGGATACTCAAAATGATCAAATTACATACGCTTATGACAAAAACAAACGTTACAGTGGTCATGATATGTATGCTAGGTATATTATGACATTCTCGTGCTCATTGTTACAGTTTTGGACAATCATGGCAACGTGTCACCTTTTCTATTTATTTGTCTGTAAACGGGTATTAAATTAGCTAGCTGTTCACTCTTCAGAATATATAAAAATGTCCTAATACAGATATAGTGATGTTGAGTAGGAACCTTCACTTAGCTCAATACTCGTAGGGAGCCTAATATTACCGTTACTGCTTATTAAGGTCCAAGTACTTTAATACTCAATCTAAACGTGATTCGATTCTCAATTGCGATACGGTTCTATAAATATAAAGCCCACTACTTTCATATCACGTCAAAATACTTTCACAAATGCAAAATGCACACTTACTGTACAGTTTTAAACAAAGATTTATAGAAACCCTGGAATGCTAATGCTATGTATTGGCTTTGAAGCCACAAGTTGGCCACATTGGCACTCCTCAGAAAAGCAGTCCTCCATAGGAATGAAGGGAATTCTACAGTATTTCATTTAAATGTTTGAAGGACAAAGATGTTGTTGTAGTGGGGACAGTAACATTAGCACTTTCAAAAAAGTATAATGTAAAATGTTTTTCTATATTTTATTTTTATTTTAAATGTGTATGTTTAGCTCACATAATATAATTTAAAAGTATGCATTAAGGTGTCTGTAATAGAATAAACGCGTCAAAAACAAATGTAGACATTAGTAAATGCATTTCTATAGCTTTTTTTTTTTTACAACGGTGAGGGAGTGCCAAGATGGAGGCGCAGTGGCTTGAAATCAGCACCCCCCTGTAGTCATCTAGTGTATATATAAATCATTGGTTTTAACCGGCTTTATCACTGTTGCAGCCGAGATCGTTTTTTCCAGTGACAACACGTTTCTGGCAGCCTTCGTCCATTACAAACAATACATGTGTTCGGAGCATGCTAGATAGGTGATAACAGTTCATGCAGCTGTCTTCTGTAAACACGTGATGTAACATGGAGATGTGACCTTGTGGGAACACTAACCCTATAAAGTTGTGTATCAATTTAACGTTTTGTTTTTTGTAATAGATTTCTCTCTGATATGAAAGATTAGGACCTTATGCTTCCAAAACCGTACCGCAAGAGATGCGTGTTAATGTTCAGACCGAGCAGCAGGGATCTTAACAAAAAAGCCGTACAAAAGACGCCTTCATCCAATGACTCTGTGTAATGTAATGGAACTGAGAGTCATGATCAAGGGCTAACCTTCACTGTGCTTTGTTACTGAAACTGAAACTCAATGTTTCTGTTAACTGGTACAATAGCTAAACGATAATGGGGTGAGGTGATTACAATATTGTTTCAGACATAAGGAAGTGGATGGCTGAAAACTTTTTACTTTTAAACTCGGACAAAACAGAGATGCTTGTTCTAGGTCCCAAGAAACAAAGAGATCTTCTGTTAAATCTGACAATTAATCTTGATGGTTGTAAAGTCGTCTCAAATAAAACTGTGAAGGACCTAGGCGTTACTCTTGACCCTGATCTCTCTTTTGACGAACATATCAAGACTGTTTCAAGGACAGCTTTTTTCCATCTACGTAACATTGCAAAAATCAGAAATTTTCTGTCCAAAAATGATGCAGAAAAATTAATCCATGCATTTGTTACTTCTAGGTTAGACTACTGCAATGCTCTATTTTCCGGCTACCCGGATAAAGCACTAAATAAACTTCAGTTAGTGCTAAATACGGCTGCTAGAATCCTGACTAGAACCAAGAAATTTGATCATATTACTCCAGTGCTAGCTTCCCTACACTGGCTTCCTGTTAAGGCAAGGGCTGATTTCAAGGTTTTACTGTTAACCTATAAAGCGTTACATGGGCTTGCTCCTACCTATCTTTCCGAGTTGGTCCTGCCGTACATACCAATACGTACGCTACGGTCACAAGACGCAGGCCTCCTAATTGTCCCTAGAATTGCTAAGCAAACAGCGGGAGGCAGGGCTTTCTCCTATAGATCTCCATTTTTATGGAACAGTCTGCCTACCCATGTGAGAGACGCAGACTCGGTCTCAACCTTTAAGTCTTTACTGAAGACTTATCTCTTCAGTAGGTCATATGATTGAGTGTAGTCTGGCCCAGGAGTGTGAAGGTGAACGGAAAGGCTGGAGCAACGAACAGCCCTTGCTGTCTCTGCCAGGCCGGTTCCCCTCTCCACTGGGGTTCTCTGCCTCTAACCCTGTTGCAGGGGCTGAGTCACTGGCTTGCTGGTGCTCTTTCATGCCGTCCCTGGGAGGGGTGCGTCACTTGAGTGGGTTGAGTTACTGACGTGATCTTCCTGTCTGGTTTGGGGCCCCCCCCTTGGTTTGTGCTGTGGTGGAGACCTCTGTGGGCTATACTCGGCCTTGTCTCAGGATTGTAAGTTGGTGGTTGGGGATATCCCTCTAGTGGTGCGGGGGCTGTGCTTTGGCGGAGTGGGTGGGGTTATATCCTTCCTGTTTGGCCCTGTCCGGGGGTTTCTTCGGATGGGGCCACAGTGTCTCCGGACCGCTCCTGTCTCAGCCTCCAGTATTTATGCTGCAGTAGTTTATGTGTCGGGGGGCTGGGGTTAGTTGGTTATACCTGGAGTACTTCTCCTGTCTTATCCAGTGTCCTGTGTGAATTTAAGTATGCTCTCTCTAATTCTCTCGTTCTCTCTTTCTCTCTGAGAACCTGAGCCCTAGGACCATACGTCAGGACTACCGGGCATGATGACACCTTGCTGTCCCCAGTCCGCCTGGCCTTGCTGCTATTCCAGTTTCAACTGTTCTGCCTGCGGCTACGAAACCCCTACCTGTCCCAGACCTGCTGTTTTCAACTCTTAATGATCGGCTATGAAAAGCCAACTGAGAGACCTGAGCCCTAGGACCATACGTCGGGACTACCGGCCGTGGTGACTCCTTGCTGTCCCCAGTCCGCCTGGCCTTGCTGCTATTCCAGTTTCAACTGTTCTGCCTGCGGTTATGGAACCCCTACCTGTCCCAGACCTGCTGTTTTCAACTCTTAATGATCGGCTATGAAAAGCCAACTGAGATTTATTCCTGATTATTATTTGACCATGCTTGTCACTTATGAACATTTTTGAACATCTTGGCATGGTTCTGTTATAATCTCCACCCGGCACAGCCAGAAGAGGACTGGCCACCCCTCATAGCCTGGTTCCTCTCTAGGTTTCTTCCTAGGTTTTGCCTTTCTAGGGAGTTTTTCCTAGCCACCGTGCTTCTACACCTGCATTACTAGCTGTTTGGGGTTTTAGGCTGGGTTTCTGTACAGCACTTCGAGATATTAGCTGATGTAAGAAGGGCTATATAAAATAAAATTGATTGATTGATTGATATAGAAAAGGTATTTACAAGATAATTTTCCTTCAGCTAAATTCAGAGCAAAAATGTGTCACTACATTTTGAGAGTTGTCAATCACCTTTCTGTGCTGTGTACTGGTACTTCCTGAAAACAAATAGCCAGCAGCAGGTGGTGATAGAGTATCCGTTTATGCCCTGTTAGCCTAAATTAGACTAGGCCACACCCTTTATAGTAACGGAGGACCTCGGGAGATGGTAACGCACACATGCTGTGTAGATGGCCTAGTGTACACCACCCAACCCAACCCTAGAACAAACGATACACAAAATAGATAGAATAGAGTTCTTATAACTGTATGTCTCTTTTCTTCATGTATTTAAATAACTGGCAGGAAAATATTGATTAAATCAATACATAATATACACCTTCCTGTAATAAAGACAGATGTCACACACTTTGAAGTGAAGGGCAGATCTCTAAACAAGCCAGTAGTTTGTCATTATGCAACATTGAGCTTATACAGTATTGAAATATGATATTAAAAAATGTTCATTAACATTACATTTCCATACAATCTTTTAAAAGTACACCACAGTACTTCTTCCTTGTTCACCATCCTCTCCTCAGGTAACACCTGTATTGTTTGCAGAACAAACAATGCCTTGAAAAAAAAAGGCTAATGTATGTTCTTCCCTCTACCGTTCATGCCTTTGTTTGTGTTTTGTAACTGTACACCACTGGATTTGGTTTCAGGTTGTGGGGGAGATACCTGCTATCACAAAAAGGGAACAGGTGTAATAGCAGGACCAGATTGGCGACTCGTTCTTGAACTGAACAAAAGCAGACAGGTGAACGCCTGGAGTGCCTATCTTCCCATCTTAACCCTTGGTGCCTATGTCAGTTTAAGTACACAATCTCTGAGGTGAGTGAGAATCTGAAACGCTTATATTTGCTCAAAGTTCCTTCCTCCAGGATATGTGTACCACAGGAACTAAGGATCAGGTTACAGTGCATGTTTTGTTGATGCATTTTTCATAGTAAATAGAAGAATGAAAATTGGGGTGCAATGTTAAACAACAGCTATCATTCATAGGACCACCATTTTAAGATGTTTTACATGTAAATTGTAGCTTTGTGTTTCACAAAAAACAAAAGACCTATTCTTACACAGAAATATTCTTGAAATGTACATAATC